TGCAGCTTTGATTGTTGACCTAAATTCCCCTTTCATAACTGAGTCCTGTCACCTCTGGTTGGAGTCTCCCGGCAAAACAGGCACGGCCAACTTTCAGAAGTGCGGGGCACTGTTTTCCGTTCTGCCTTGCACGGCTGTGATGGGCTCCGAGCACACCTGATGTGTTCAAAGTCAAACTGACCTCCTTCCTCCCCTTCCCCCAGCTTCCCTGCTCCTGGAAAAGCATAACAGGTCTCTTTTTTTTCCTTCTTTTTCCTTTTTTTACCAATTTTTTTCTTTTCTTTTTGCTTCCCATTGCTCGGCAAAGTGAGGAAGCCTTTTGCCTGCCTAAAGAATTAAATTCTTAGGTAATTCTATGGCTGGGCTGATTACCAGGAAGATTGCTGTTAGTAAGATGCATGAAATGACACTGAAATGAGGGAGGGAGGCCTGGAGTCTGTTACTGATAATATTAAAGTGGATTACAGCAGCTTGCATGGGCGACTTCTGCCTCTCTTCTTTCATACTCTGCCCACAGAGTGCTACTTAAGACTCCAGCAGCCACAGCCTCTAGCTGTGAGTTCCCGTTTCTCTGCGGCTACTGCTGATAAGCATCTGGTCCAACCTCTGCATCGCAGGCTTGGTTACAGCAATGCCTCGTGTCCTCACCCAGGACTTTGGTCCACAAGTTCAGGAGCTGATGCTACCTGCTGTGTTTGTGCTGCGAAATCCTGTCCATCATACAGGGCCCACACAAGGATGTGGCTCTATTTAAGTCCCCAGCAAAGTCCTGGAAGCAAATTGGGTTATAAATCATACACTGGCTTTGGTTAAGGCCTGCTGGAAGAGGTCAGATGGACAGTTGGGTGCTGGAGCCATTGTGGGTCAGTAGCCAGAGAACTGAGATTTCACTGGCAAGAAAAAGGGAGAGATTGTATTTTCAGATTTCCATGTCTGGCTTTGGGCCTCTGGAGTTTAATGTTCCAGCTTTCCCTGTTCTAGATCCCTAGGATTTTACTTTTCCTATAAGGGGCAAATAGCATGGGACTGGAAGGAGCTTCATGGGCCGTTGAAGTCTGTCTGTGGCCAAGCAAACAGGAATGTAGTATCTTAACTCTGTTCATGCACTTCTGAAGAGTTGTCTGAGAAGTGACTCACTGCTTAGTGGGGAAGGAAGGTTACCAATGCCTCTTACTGGAAAGCTGGACTAGCACCTCTTCTTTTTCTTGTAATAAAAGATAAAACTCAGTTTTAATCCCTTGGGCTTCAGGAGCTTTACAGGGAACAAATCACTTAGACTACGGACTTTGAAGGGCTGTCAGTGTTCTTCTCAGCTGTAACTCCATCCCTTTCTAGCAACTCGGAGCAAGCAGAAGTGAAGAAAATTGTTTGCTGCTGTATAGACTTCTACATATTTTTTTAATCTAATTGCTGTGGGGAAAACAAACATCAGTTTTATTTCACACCATTTCTTGGCTAGGAAACTTGAGGCATATTTGCCAGATTGTGGTTTTGCAGTCATTGGCTTGAGTCTCCTTTACCATGAGGCCTCTTTACACCACTCTTGGTTTGTAAAGGGATATTAAGTAGCTAAAAATGTCCCCTAGCACATTATTGTAAAGGATTCTCAGTGTAAATGAGACTCTAACCTCTGTATGTTTTTCATGTAAATGTTCACTGTGGTCACAGCTGAATTCTGAAATTTGGAGTGTCAACCATTGTGAGGGGTGATTTTGCTCAAAACCAGCCTTGTTTGGGGTAAAAGAGGCCTCTCCTTGTTTAAAATGTTCTCAATTATGTCTGAGAAATAACTCATGGCTATGGAACCTTTTACTAAATTGAAATAAATTGTGAAAACATCAAATTATTCAGTTTTCAGAAGTTCTGGCAATTATTTCACATGTCCCTCTTCCAATGGCTTTGCCCTTATTAGTTGTCATAGAAGAAGTAATAAATTCTTGTATTATGACATCCGAAGTCCCAGCTGAAATGAGTTTCATTGTGCTGGGGACAAAACGGAAAAGTGACACTCCCTTAGCCGGAGGATTCTTAGTCTAAAGCCAAAAAGTAAGTGAAGGGTTGGGAAAGTAGGTACAGCATATGAGCAAAAGAAGGTCAGAAAGAACTGGTACAACATGCAAGTTATAGGGAGTGGGGGTTTCTTATACTTTCTTAGTCTTTTTCCTTTCTCTTAAGAATAAAACAACTCTTGCTGTTGAAGGGATTGTGTTCAATCTGTCTTTTCATCAAGAGTTGGTTGTCTGTAATAGTAAAAGTTTGAGGAACAAATACTGTACGTGGCATATGGATTCAGCAAGGACCTTTGCCCTAAACTAGAAAATGTAAGGAACTGGAATAGTAGACTGTTTTAGTTGAGCAGCTTTCATACTGGCGTGTTCAGTGGTGTCCCTATTGTCACTGGGTTTTTTCTTTCTCTGCCCTCCTTTGGCTCCCTGTAAATCTTGAATTGATGGCAGCTGTTTGAGCCAAACTCAAGACACGTTGCATCACATCAGGGTTTAAATGCTCAAAGGCAAGGGAGGATTGCTACTATTCTGTAGTATTCCTCCAGCAGCTCCATCTGTTCAGCTGAGGTCAATCACTAGCATCATGCAGCACTTCAGAGAGAGAGGAAGATGTTCTTTAATGCTGGCTGGGAAACTGAATTTCCATTTCACAATTATTTATTAGTTCTTTTGGGGGAATATTCCTAGCCCCAGCCAGTACAAAAAGCCAAAAACTTGACCCCTAAAGACTGTATGGTGGACTTTCTTAGAGCTGGAAACCCCAGAAGTGTGTTCCAGAGCTTCCAACAGTCCATCCAACAGCAGGGATCTTGGATATCTTACAGGTGGAACTGCTATTGCATGTGCAGCTGCCCTTTGGTCCTCAGGCCTGGAGACTTTGGTCACTGTGAGGAGAAGGTGACAGGAGATGATGGGGAGCATGACTTGGATGGGTTGACCTTCTCTGCTTGCAGTCAGAACAGCCAAGGGAGTCCCTGGTGTTCCCTTGGCCATAGTGAAGGAAGGCTCACACCTTCTCATGGAGATTTACTGGGGCTAGCTCATATATGCATTACTTTTTCTGCCCTCTCCATGTTGGCATTTCTGGGCAGGCACAAACCCTCTTACAAAATATCTGACCAGCTCTAATGGTCTATTACAATAAGTTGGGATGTTTTAGAACTTATTTTATTGCTTCTTTGGAAGGGGGACTTGTCTTGCCAGCTGTCTTCTCATTCACTGCAGCATTATCCACCCACTAGCACTGCACAATACCTTCATTGGAGATTCATAAAAATGCAGACTTTTATGGGCTCTCATACATCTGAAAATGAATGCTTTGTGAAAGCATTTATTCCATAAAGAAAAATCGAAACCCACTTAAAAACCAGCCTCCAGAAGGTCATTGGTAACTTTGGCTTTCCTACCATGAATTTCTCGGGTAAATATCCATCCCAGCAAATGTCATTCTTTATTTTAAGCATATTTGTTTTTTCCTTTCCTGGTTCTCCTCCTCTCCTTTCTCGTGATCAGAAGTAGCAGCATAAACTAGAGGCTGGTCTCGCAAAGGTTTTGAACTGAGTGCGCCCTACAGATGAATAAACACATTACCTTCCGAACCCTGGGATCTCTCTTCCAAAGGCAACAGGAAAAGGGGGAGCTCAGAGTCCCTAGCAAAATACCAGCCTGCAGAAAAAAAAAGGCCTGTTTAAATGCTCTAGCTTTCCCACCAGAAGACTTTTAAAGGGGGAGGAGGAGGAGGAGGAGAGAGGAAGGGTGTGAGGAGAGAGGGGGGAAGGTGGATGCTGGGAGAGGGGAGGAAAAATACAGTGAATGCTCCTGTAACCTTTGCTCTGTTGATACTAGACAAGACTGCACTGTTAATGAGTGATTGTTAACAGATGGCTGTTGAGCAACTTAGAAGCAGAAGATGTTATTTGGTTGTAGTGCTGGGAGGGTTAGGGTGCAGGGGTGAGGTAAGGGGATATTTAGTCTTTTCATGAGAACTGAATGGTCAGAGATTTATGATTTTTGGTTAGGCTTTTGGAAGTGGAGGTCTGGAGGAAGGATTGTTTCCCATGTGCTGATAGGAGAGTGGCCGTTTGGTGCTGAAGGCTGTAATGATGATTTTCTGGGTTGAGGGCTGTCCCTGCAGCCCTTGGCCTTTGAGAACTGAAAGATGGAAATGTATGTCTTTAACTTGCCAAACCTCAGGTCCCAAAGTGAGGAGTGGGCTCTTCCCACTGCTTGGAGCTGTCTGAAAGCAGGTTAAGAGAGCTTTAGATGTGGATCCACACTTTGTCCACAAGATAAATCATTAGTACTTATCCCCTGCGGTGCACCAAGTTGTTGGTAAGTGTGTGTGAGAGGGCAGGAAACTTTCTGAACATGGATGTCCATCCGTGCATGTTCCTTGCCCTTTCCTGGTGTCATATATACTATGTTCAGCACATCAGCATGCCAGCGTGTGCCACTTCCTCACTGTTTTTTATTTGGTATGAATTTGAGGGTAGCCTCAACACATCCCATTCACTTTCTGTAGGATTTGAATGCTTGAACCTACCACATTTCTTGTAGCTGCTCAGTGTTTCTCGAGCTGCAGTACTTTGTTTTTGTACTTGTTTCTCCTCTGGACCTCATTAGATACAGGGTTCAGTGGCAGGAGGTGTGAGTGGGATCAACACTGCTTCTCAAGGCTGTTATTTTCAACCAGTGGTATATGGCTTGAGTGAAGGCAAGAATCAAATGCACAGAGCATCATTTTGCTGTTAGGAATTTGCAGGAGAGGTTTGGCCTTTGGTCAGGAAAGGGGAATTCCATTTATACATGCAAAAAGTAACAGCAAGTGTACCACAGTCATGCACTAGATGGTTTTATGTCTTTCTTGTACATGAACATTTTAACGCATGTAGGTGAGTGTGTGTATATACATGGATATTTATAGACTAATTTAAAGACTAATTTCTTCATCCTGTCATCCTTATTGATTCATATTTCTTTTTTGGGGGCACATAGGACTATATGACAAATGTTCTTACACCTCCCGTGACCGAGGATGGGTCCTGGGGATTAACACCGTCAGTGACCAGGGGAATAGAGACCCCCGCTATTTCTTCTCTCTGAAGACGGATCGTGCTCGCAAAGTAACCACCATTGCAGCACATCGCAGCTACCTCCCCAACCAGTGGGTGCATCTGGCTGCCACGTACGATGGGCACCTGATGAAACTCTATGTGAATGGTGCCCAGGTGGCCACAAGTGGAGAGCAAGTGGGCAGCATCTTCAGTCTTCTGACCTTGAAGTGCAAGGTGCTCATGGTTGGAGGAAATGCGCTGAACCAGAACTATCGGGGTTACATAGAGCACTTCAGTCTCTGGAGGACAGCCCGGTCTCAGAAGGAGATCTTGTTGGACATGGGCCAGGCAATTCACAGACAAGACACCCCTCTACCTCAGCTAGTTCTTCAAGACAGTTTACTGAATGTGAAAAACACCTGGTCCCCCATGAAGGATGGCAGCAGCCCCCAGAGCAAGTTCAGTTATCACCATGGCTATTTGCTGGATACCAGCCTAGACCCTCCTCTCTGTGGACAGACCGTCTGTGACAACACAGATGTAATCGCCAGCTACAACAAGCTCCCCAGCTTCCGCCGCAACAAAATCGTGCGCTACCGTGTGGTCAACCTCTATGATGACAAACACCAGAACCCCACTGTCAGCCAGCAACAGATCGAGTTCCAGCATCAGCATTTAAATGAGGCTTTCAGCCGCTACAACATCACCTGGGAGCTGGAGGTGCTGGAGGTGAAGAACTCTTCCCTTCGCCACCGACTCATCCTGGCCAACTGTGATATCAGCAAGATTGGGGACGAGAACTGTGACCCGGAGTGCAACCACACCTTGACTGGGTACGACGGTGGGGACTGCCGGCACGTGCGCCACACGCTCTTCAACAAGAAGAAGCAGAACGGGGTGTGTGACATGGATTGTAATTACGAGAGATACAACTTCGATGGTGGGGAATGCTGTAACCCAGAGATAACAGAAGTCACCAAGACGTGCTTTGACCCTTATTCTCCTTACAGGTAGGCATTTTCTTAAACAAGCTTTTTATAATCATACTGGTGACTATCTGTCTAGGTATTGATCAGCCTGCTGGGTTTTGAAACCTTGTTTTGTTACCATTAGAGGCTTTGGAGTTTGTAATTCATTTGTTTATTTCTTAGTGTTTGGCTTGTATTGTAGTTATCCAATTGCAGTCTCAGTATTGGTCTCACCAGCATCTTAACTGTTGAGCTGGTATTCTCCATCTAGGCTGAAGAAAGTTCAGCACTGAAGACTGAAGCAGCCAACTTTGGTCGACCCATTAGTTGTTGGTTATGAGCAGTGTATTGTAGCATTGCACAGTTTATTTTAACTTCAGACTCTTAGCAGTGGGAATTGGATGTCATACAAAGCTCATGTGTATTTGGGGAGGGAAGAGCCCTTCAGGCATAGAACAGAACATAAATACTCTCAGGTAGACTTTAATTCTCTAGGACTTCTTTGAAGGTAGGTGGGTTATTCTGTATCCTTAATGCTCTGAGTACTGTTTTCTGTAAGCACTGCTGTGGCGAGACAGCTTAGTCTGCGGGCTGTGAGGAGGGAGGTGGGTACCAGGTTCCTGGCAGTGCTATTGCACACATTGAGTTCTTCTGTGCCTCTTGTTATATAGATGAAAATTGGGTTAGTGCCACTTCATTGCAAATGGCAGGGCAACTTTCTGTGGGTGGATGTGAGCTTAGAAAATCCTGAGATCCTCAGCTAAAACTGTGCTGTAGTTTGAAGAGGGACATCCTCGAGTAACTTGCGTCAGCTGAGTACCACATACCTACAATTACTCCAACTTGCTTCTGGTCACCTTTAGATAAGAGTTAGTTTGTTTAAAGAAAAAAGTGTTTTCTGTGAAGGACTTAGAAATATAAACACACAGAAGATAAAGGTTAAAGCTGAGATTCTGTTGTCTGCATCCCATGTTACAGTTTCTGTAGGGCAATTCACGCAGTCATGGGGGAAAACCTCTAGGTGGTCAGAATACCCTGTGTTGTCAACACTAAAGCTCAGGTTAAGAGAGGAAGTGTGAGCTGTTCTGGAATCCCTTCCATTACAGCAATTCAGGCTATCTTTGCAACTTCCTCCATAGAGAGAAGGTTTTACACAACATTATCAGCTCTACTGGAGCTTTAAATACACATAATTAAGCTGCTAAGAAATGTTTCCTTTCCATTTTTGTTTTTAACTCCGATGAGGTTGTTTTTGAAAAACTCCTTATAGCTCAGCATGACTTCAGTGAGCTCCCAGTGAACAGAGCTCACATGAGGAAATACTTGAAATGCTAATGATTGAAAATATCGGAAGGAAAAATACCAATCTCTTAATACTGTTCAACTGGAGAGGAACACAACGAAGCAAATATCATCAAAGGCATAATGCAAATTGGATTGTTTTAACACTGGAGTTCTGAGAAGTCGAGGTGTTAGTTCTAACAGCTATGACAATTTTTAGCAAAATACATTATTTTTAATATGATAGTTCCCTTTTATCACTTGTTCTGTGACCAGCATAATACCCATACAAAATGAAACTAGAAAAGTCTTGTAAATTTTAGTTGGCAGATTTAAAACTGTGCCTTAATGCTATTCTGATGCTCAGAGATGTTTCTATGTCAAATGAAGCCTTTTTTCCTTTTTTGATGCACAGATTGTACTTGCAGAAACCCAAGCAAGAAATTTAGATCCCAAATCTGAAATTACATTAATGCACCGTAGTTGCTTTTCATACGCAGTTGTGTGTTCATTTTGGAGACACCCAACCTCGCTGAACTGGCCTGGAGCCTTTGCATTTCATGGCTTTGAGCTCACAGATCTTCTACATGTTCTTTTTGGCTTGAGAAGCACCTCTTCTTGTCTGTGATCAGTGAAGGAGGCCTGAAGGTCCTGTTCCAAAGTGCAGAGACTGTGAAAATCTGTAGATTCTCCACAGACTTTTTTGCACCAGTTAGATTTCATTTAGTTGTCTTCGCACAGACATTGTAATGCACTGTTGGTCATTGTCTATGATCAACATCTTGTTTATGAAAACATGAAGGGCAGTAGAAGACATTCCATCTCTCCAGAGAGTTTATTTGGTGGCTGATATGTTTAGACTGAGCTCATACCCACCACTCTGATGGGTGTTGCACTCAGTATGGCAAAATAGAACACTTAGGGCCGTGGGCTTAGCCATGAGGTTTGTAAGGCTGAAGTATTTAGGCTAACAAATACAGGTTTGGGGCAGTGGCTTTGGCAGCAAAGCCTTCATTGACTAAAGAGTGAGGATTCAAACCCCATGTTTGGCTTTGGTATTGCCCTCAGCATCATTCCCTGAGAGGGATTACCATGCCAGTTAGTGACTAAGTCAAAATCTGTGACTCAGTTGGCACCGTCTGGGCCCATTTTGCATTACCAGCCCTTCTTGTCATCACTTTCATTGGCAGAGTCCTCAGTCCCCTCTAGTGCAGGCCTTGCACCACATCAATGAAGGCATCTCCACAGCCACTGAGAGCTCACATCTAATTCCAGGTATTTCCTCTGCCAAAGTTCAGTCTAACAATAGCAGAAGAAAGAGAAGTGAGCCTTCCAACTGGTGAGGAAAGGGGGAGGAGGGAAAGATGAAATGGTACCAATAAAAAGTTTCCTGAGCCTTGTGCTATAAAGACTCTTCACAGTCTTCCTTGGTACTGGAGAGGCAGTCAGATGCTACTGGGTTTTGCTCCTTGTATCCATTTCTAGTCCCTTTTCTTCTTCTGACTGTCTCAGTCCCAAGCCTCCATCCTTGGACAAAGTTGTTATGAGTCTTGTTACAACAAACTCTGTGGATGCTCCTTAACCAAGTGCAACCACAGATGTGAGATCACTGGAACCGTTTCAAGACAACTTTGATCTGCATTGTAAGTTTCTTGTGATCCTTTTGGCACTTTGGACAAAGTGCTTGGGTACTTGGATGGTGTCATTCAGTCGCTGTTGTGGTACAACTGTGGTGGCTTTAGAGCTGATCCCAGCAGCAGGAATGCGTTTTTCGTTTGTTTGCTTCCAACTCCTGGCACTTCTCCAGAAACATCTTCCTCTAAAGAGCCAAGATCCTGTGCCATAGGTACTGGGGATGTTGATGCATAGAGATTTAAATACTATGGCATAAAGAAGTTTGCCAGAGAGACAATGCTGGTAGATGGGGACTCTGCTCTCAGAGCTGCTCAGCAATAAACATTGTGGTACCAACTAGATCATCTCTCCTCTTTTTTATTAGCCTACAGGGAAAAAACAAAGGACTGGTTAGCATTAGCCAACACAGCAGGCTTTATCCAAGAATATCTGCCTCACTTCTTTTTATTAATTTCATGAGAGTGGGACAAAATGTATTTAGTCCCAGCACAAGATTTGCAAATATTGTTCAGCTTGTCTTTATTTCTGCAATTCTGGGAAATTAGAACATGCTAAGATCATACAGTCTGGCCCAATACAAAGGGAAGGAGCAAGGATAAACACCACTTGCCACAAAGACGCATTCCCTGTGTTATTTGGGATATTGCTGCTTACAAAATAGGGAGGATTTTGAGCTCATGACACCTACCATGGCTCCTTTTCAGAAAAACTTGAAACAAACAGCAAGGGATCATAGGAAATCATGCTCTGTAAGTGCTATTTGATGTGGCAAGTTCTTGCACCATCCTATGGTTAACTGAGCCCTTCCTTTTATGTAGTATTGGGCTTGCACATCAGGCTTCACCACAGGATCGCATGGGCAGATAAGAAAGCATTCCCCTTGAAGCCTTCTTAGGAAAACGCTGATGAAATCCCTGAAGCAGTAAAATCTACTGGAGCCTTCAGATTCGCTTGATTCATACAACCTACCGAATACTTGCTGGAAATCCCCTCAGAAGGAGTGACCCTGGGGACAGGCTTTCTCAACATCCACATGTGTGCCCTGAAGGCTCCTACAGCCCATCAGTTCTGCCCAGACAAGGGGCAGAGATGAGCTGTACAAGCTCCAGAGTCTATTTTGCAGCACCTGACTGCAAATGCAAGGGTGACCCCAAGCCAAGGTGGCTGGAGTGTCCAGTGCCCTGCTGATCCCACCCTTCTCCCTGGCCTTTTCCAACGCTTGTATTGTGCAGTCAAGCAGAGCTTAGTGTTGTGTCACAGCAGCTTGCTCAAGTTTAAGGGCACTGACACATTGCAGGTATATGTAATTAGACTCTGAATGCATGCTTGAGCAATCTGTAGAAATCTCAATGTGGTTTTGACCAGCAATAAGTATGGCAGAGCCCCATATGAAGAGCACACCGTGCTCTGCCACATGGACCACAGCAGTAGCATTAGAAGGAGGTAGCTGGCTAATCCACAGCCTAGGTCTGTGGCTGCACGTCAGGGCTCCCCCATGGGATTTCTGACCAGATCAGCCTCTTATTCTTTATCCTTCTTTTCCACTGGAAGTCTTTTCATGAGGCTTCTTTACAAAGTATGGTCAACTTACTCTGGAGGAGGGAGGCATACTTAATGCCCTTTTCTAGGAGTTAGAAGAGTTCTAAGAAATACTCCTTGGTTCCTAATAAAAGACTAATTTCCACCTAATCCTAAACACTAAAAAGAACAGAAGAAATTCATCAAAGCTCTTCAATTCACGGAGCTTGAGAACTTAATCCCCTGCCTCGAAGAGACCATTGTATAGCTCTTGACATCAAGGATTCCTGCATTCATGCAGGTATCAGGCAGACATATAGCAAAAACCTGACTTTTTGTCTAGGGATTCAGCATTAAATGCCCAGTTCTTTAATTACCAGCCCCAGGGCTGTTGAGAAGGTGGAGAGTATCATGCTCAAGAACAGAGCTGCTGTCTCTTGGTAGTTGTCACCTAAAAGCCATGTCCCAACAGGAAATCCTCTGTTCTCTCTGTTTATTCTGTCCTCTATTCCAGATGTCAGGGATGTTAATCAGCTGGGAGGAACTGCATCTGTTCCCATGCTGGCCACTGACATTTATAAGTCTATTATTGAATTCTGATATAGACA